CTTTACACAATAAACATAGATTATTTCTTAGTACCGTACATAACCCATATATAAATAACAGATTTGTAGGAATCTCTTTTATTTCTTTCCTTAGTTAGCACATGATATATATATATATATATATATATATCACTACATGGAATAATATATCAATTTGATTCTTCCATACCTTGTCAATTACATGGTATGAGAGCCACATTTGTGGCTTCGCCAGAGTTGAGTTTGTCTCGCCGGAGTTGACCAAAACTTTCCGGCAGACATGTGAGGTGTTTGCGTGGTCCATTCTCTGTTCAGCTTTGTTCTCCAAGATCAGGTTGATTATTTCCGATCGAATGTTGGTTATCCTCTGATAACAGAACCTTATTTTCGTGAAGAACATACTCGGACAAGGTTGTATTACACCAGTTTTGGTCAGGTTTGAATTCTTCTACTATTTGGTTTGTTTTGGGGTTACTGAAGTAGTCGTGGAACAATATTCTTGCATCTAATTGTTTGTTTTGTGAATTGGTATTTGTTGGGTCTTCTTTGTAAGACACTTTGTTACAATTTGAGACATGATATTATTTGTTGGGTCTTCCCTTATCAGAAACTTTGTTTGTCTTTGATTTTATGTTATTTGGGGACAGATTTGTTTGGTTCTCTGATTTGGTTGAGTGGATTATTGGAGTGAAGTTCTGTTAAATATATTGTTGACTTTGTTTCTACCAGAGATCTGTTTTGGTATCTTTGGGGACCTCTTTAATAATGCAACAACTCCTAGTCCAAAAATTTTGGTTTCGGATGAGTTTCTAAAATTCCTTCAATATCATAAATCAGTAAGGAATCTTCTTCAGTTGCTGCCTTTGTTGGGTTAAATAAAACATGTCTTATCACCTCTTCCAATAAATGGGTGATCGATTCAGGTGCCACAAATCACATGACAGGTAATCCAAATATTTTTTCTAGTTTTCGGTCACATAAAGCACCCTATCTGATTACTGTATGTACCCTATATTTTCGTACGTAGAAGTACGCCATAAGTAAATTGATGTAAGTTTAGAAATGAGATGTTACCTCCCGCATTTTCGTACGTTAATATTTCGTCGTAAGTTAATTGACGTAAGTTCGGGAAGGAGATTATTTTGGAATTATAAGTATTATGCTATTTCAAACAAGGGATAAGTAAATTCGTGAAGGTGAGATGGTAAGCAAATCGAAGAAAATGAGCTTCGTCAAAGTTTGATATTTTGGGATAAAATATGGTCTAAGCTATAATACCCCGTATTTATGGACTAATGTCATAAAAGATACCACATGACCATAATAGTAAAGTGTATAAAGTGTATTAAAAATGAGTTGTATTTTAAATAAATTGAGATAAGTCTTAATTATATGAATAATTGGTTAATTATTAGTTTGAGTGAGAAGTTAATAAATTAATTAGAAATTTGTGAATAATTGTTTAAGTGGGATTTTGGATAACTATTAAGGGGACAACCATTCACGTGGAGCTATGGGAATATGGCAGCAAATTGCCACCAATCCTTATGCTTAAGGAGGTGGTGGCAATATTTAAGGTATGTGCACCTTGTCTTATTTTGGTTGAAAGATTCTATTGAGAAGGCTTCTCTTGATTCACAAAGTGAAAAAGGCTTATGACCTTGTGAAGCTATAACAATACGGATGAATATTATGACTACAAAATTACGGATGAGGTTACAACAAAAATTCATATGAGATTACATTATGTAATAAGCAATGAGATTTTGAGATTTTAAGGGAATACGGTGCCATCTTTCTCAAGAATATTATACGGTTTTGTTCCTACTCCGATCTTGTCGTCGCGTATTTTATCGCAATTAATGTATTTTAGCGGGATTGTCAAGAGAATCGACTCAAGTATGTTAAAGCTAAGCTCTTCCTTAATTTTGGCATGATCTCTTAACTACATATGTCTGATAACGAGGCATAAAGAGAAGTTCATACTCCCGAATTTATATACATTATCCTAGTCTCATAAGTTACAGTATTCTCTCTCTCTCTCGCTATATATATATATATATATATATTCACCACCATCGAGCTATAATCGGTGGGCAGGCCCCTATCTATTAGGCAAACTCTGATCAGATGGTAAGTTATATACCAAGCCTAATGTCGCCGAGCACCTATGAGCGAGCCCAGAATGGCCGAGATACAGAGCCCAGTATGGCTGAGCAGCGAGCCTACTACGGTAGAGTAGTTACACATACAGAGCCTTATAAAGCCGGACAGTTATTTTACTTACTACATTGAGAGAGTTAGTATCAGCAGGTAAGCATATCTTCAGTTTTTCTTTGACTTCTAATTACTTTCAATTATTATATTATCAGTCCAGTTTCAACTTTCAGTTATTTTGTTGCCTTACATACTCGGTATATTATTTCGTACTGACGTCCCTTTTGCCGGGGACCCTGCATTTCATGCCTGCAGGTCCTCATTGCTAGTTGGACAGACCCTTCCAGCAGACAGAGTCAAAAATCAGCTTGGTTGGTAAGCTCCACTTCCTCGGAGTTACCAGGTCTAGACCTTGGAGTCCATTTTATATATACAAGTTTGATGGGTGTCGAGTAACTGTCCCGACCATGGTACAGTTCAGTTATCTCTAGAAGCTTGCAGGCGAGTCCTGTGTATTTTATATATCAAAAGATGTTCATGACGGATTCGTCGGCCTACATAACTATATATATATATTGTGTATGTTCACCCCACAACTGAGAAAGGCGTTATTTTTAGACGATTCATGATATGGCCTCATCAGTCTAAGTTGAGGGTTACCCCTCTAGAGTTCACAGTTACGGAGTGGTAGCTCGGGCCGAGTATGGCACCGGGTGCCGGCCACACCTCTTCAGGTTTGGGACGTGACACTATAGCTGATGGATCAACTTGTAGCAGTGTTGGATCTGGGACTGTTAAGCCAACTTCCTCCATTACCCTGTCATCTGTATTTAAGTCTACCAAACTTGGCCTTTAACTTGATTTCTGTTAGTAAAATCACGAAAGACCTTAATTGTTGTGTTGCATTCTTTTTCGATCATTATTTGTTTCTAGATCTTACAATAAAACATGTTATAGATAAAGGATATTTATCTAGTGACCTCTACATCCTTGATGAATAGGAGCCACGGTCTATTGCATGCTCTAGTGTTGTGTCTCCCATTGAAGTACATTGTCGATTGGACACCCCTCTCTGCCTTTGTTGAAGAAGCTTTGTCCTCAGGTTCAGAATACTTTTTCATTGCATTGTGAGTCATGTCGATTTGCAAAACACCATCGCATCTCGTTAAGTCCAAGGGTTAATAAACGAGTTGACTCAGCTTTTGAGTTAGTTCATTCTGATGTTTGGGGACCATGTCCTGTTGTTTACAAAACTGGGCATAAGTATTTTGTCACCTTTGTAGATGATTTTTCTCGAATGACTTGGATTTACTTTATGAAGAGCCGATCTGAAGTGTTTACTCACTTTTCTACCTTCTGTGCTGAAGTCAAAACTCAATTTAATGCTTCGGTGCGTACTATAAGGAGTGATAATGCTAAAGAATACATGTCAGAGTTATTTCAGTCGTACATGAGACAACATGGTATACGACATCAGTCTTCATGTGTTGATACACCCTCTCAAAATGGAGTTGCTGGGAGGAAGAATAGGCATCTACTTGAGACAGCTCGGGCACTTTTATTCCAATTTATGTGAACCTGTTTGACTGGGCACGAAGTTTAAGAAAAAATGAAGACTTTTGAAACTTGTGGTAGTAAACAAGTCAAAAAGGGGTTCGGAGTACTTGTGTGGTTATAAAAGTTTCTCATTAAGGATAGAATTGGAAGCTGAAGCTAAATTGTTTCCAAATTTAGAAAGGGGTCATTCTTTTTTGAACGAACCAAAAAGGAAATAGGCTCACATAAACTGAAACGAAGGGAGTGCTTAATTTTTTTCAACGTGTTCCATTGTTCCCATATTAATAATTACTACTTAATTTTATTCAATGTGTTCCATTGTTCTGATACTGCCTTTTTAATTTATTTTTTTGATTCTTAGGTCGTTGGTATTGTCTTCCTGGCGTATGTTGTCGTTATTGTTCCATTGTCTCTCTTTCTGATTATATTGGGTTGTTGTTGTTGTAATTTTTTTCAACTTGATAGTGGCGTAGATATGCATATTCTTAAATGAAACAGATTACTATTGATTGACAATCTTGATAGCATCATTTATTGTAAGGGAAAGAGTTTTATTAATTATGAATGATGTGCAAGAAGGAGAGGAGAGGAGAGGGTGGGCCAAGGGAGAAAATCAGTTGTTTTTGCCGCATAGGTGAAGTCAACTTGGAAACTTCAAATCTCCATTCACATGGATCATAATTAATTAACTTAATTTTTCCCTTATAATTAATGTTATGATGCTATCATCCACTTGAAATTGTCTCTTTATAAATTAAAATATATATACAATCAAACATCTATATAACAATCCTATTTGTTTCGGATATCGGATATTTTAATTGTTATAGTGAAATGCTGTTGTAGAGAACATATATTACATAATATAGCATGAAAATTGGTTCCATAAAAAACTTAACTTTTATAGTGAATAGCTGTTATATAGCGATACTGTTATAGAGAGGTCTAATCTGTATGAGTATCACAATTACTATTAATGTTGGGATTCACCTAGATCCTTCTTTTCTGCTGGAACTGAAAAATTAAATTCAAAGTCAAAATAATGCATCATGTGGATTTCAAAGGCCACATTAATCAAGAAGTACCACTATATATAAGTTAACTCATTTAAAAATTAAAATATCGAAAGCCTGAGTGTAGAACGTGCAGGTCATTTTCTCCATGTAAGTTAATTATTCTGCTGAGCTAATTAAATGGTTACTGCCTTCCATCTATATATGTTTGCCCACAACCCCTACTTAATTATTTCTCTAACGCTTTATATATACATATTTTGTATTTGTACAGAACAAATTAAGAGCTGAAATATGGTTGAATCAACAATTGTTTCCAGAAAGATGATCAAGCCTTCCTCTCCTACCCCTTCTTCCCTTAGTCGTCACAATCTTTGTTTCCTTGATCATATAGCCACTTCTGCATATGCTCCAATTGCCGTTTTCTACCCCAAACCTACAAATAACATAAGCCAGATTCTTGAAAACTCCCTTTCAAAAGTTTTATCCTCTTATTATCCATTCGCTGGAATAATCACGGATAATAAATATGTCGACTGCAACGACACAGGTGCTGAGTTTCTCAATGTACGAATTAGTTGTTCGATGTCTGAAATTCTCGACCACGCCTATAATGATGCTATTGATGTTGTCTTCCCACCTGATTTGCCTTGGACTAGTTCCTTTGGCCGAAGTCCATTGGTGGTTCAGTTAAGCCATTTCGATTGTGGTGGAATAGCAATCAGTATATGCCTATCACACAAGATTGTTGATGGATATAGTCTCTTTAAATTCCTTAAGGATTGGGCTGCTACAAGTCAACATTTGGATTTCAAACCATCTACTCAATTTGATGCAAATTCTTTTTTCCCACTAATGGATGATCCTCCAGTTCTTCTACGCGATATTGTGCGCGAACCTCAACGATGCGTGTCAAGAATCTACCATTTCTCATCCTCTAGTTTGGACAGACTCAAGGAAATTGTTGCAATGAATTCACAAGTGCAGAATCCAACTCGCGTTGAAGTTGCCACAGCTCTGCTTCATAAATGTGGAGCGTCAGTATCAATGACAATAAATTCAGGCGTGTTTCAACCATCTTTATTGTTCCATGTAATGAATTTTCGCCCACCATTGCCCCTAAACACCATTGGAAATGCTTGTTCTGCCTTTGCCTCAGCAGCAATTCTGGAAAATGAGATACAAGTGCCCAACTTCGTCGCTCAACTACGAGAAGCTAAAAAACATCTTCAAGACAAGTTGAAGGATCCAGAACAGCTAACCTCATATGTACTTGAAACAATCAAAGGGACAACAAACAAAACAGAGAAGAATATAGTATTTGACTTTTATATGTGCACGAGCTTGTGCAATTTCGGGTTACATAACATTGATTTTGGGTGGGGTAACCCAATAAGAGTGACCGTAGCAACAAATTCGATGAAGAATCACTTCATTTTCATGGATTCGCCAAGTGGAGATGGGATAGATGTACTAATCACCTTGACAGAAGCTGATATGTTAATATTTCATAATAACAAAGAGCTCCTAGAGTTTGCTTCTCCAGTTGTTCTGCCACAAGAATAACTAATCAGAGAAGAATAGAGTATTATGCTTGATCTGCTTAACTAATTATTGTTGTTTGTAAACTTTAATTTCTTATTTTGAGAGAAGTTGTATAATTATTTCAGTTATCTATTTCAATTTACTTTTGCCTTCTCTTTTGCATGAAGCAAGCAATATCACTGAACCTTTTTAATTTCGCATAGTATAACGGGAATTTTATGTGTTAATGATACAATTTCGAACAAAGTTGAATACATATGGAAACACCAAAATTTTCCACGATTTTTCATTTAGACGGTTCAAGTTTAATTTTTATATGCTAATCGGAATAAGCAATTTGTCAAAAAACTGATTAGAACTGCTTCATCTAAAAAAAAGCTATACTCTCCAGTGTACGAGGTCTCTTCACTTCCCTATACTCTCTCTCTTGACCTCGTCTGTCCTCTCTCTCCTGGACCCACCTGTCCTCTACTCGGCGAGAGGTCCTCACCACCCGCTAAACTGGGATCACAGGCTGTGTCACTATGACATCTAGAACCCGACCAGTGAGAACTCGTTGCTCTGGTATGGGGGTGCCGGAAGTCTGGATCCCTTCCCTGATCTGTGAAGTAGCTGGTACAACCTGAATTAATCCCGCCTGAACTAATGTATCAAACATGCTCAGGAGCTGTGCTAATGTCTCTTGAAGTGCTGGAGTAGTGGTAACAATAGGTGTATCCGATGCCTGGGATCTGGCTGGAACTGCTGGTGGCTCCTCGGTGGTAGCTCATGTGGTGCTCTGGCTGCACCGCGTGCACGTCCTCGGCCTCTACCCCGACCCCGACCTCTAACGACTCTCGCAGGGGGCGCAGGTGTCTGATCATCTCTGTTAGCACGTGTCCTCACCATCTGTGAGAGAATAGAAGACAGAGGTTTAGGATTATGATGTCAAAAATTTCGCACGACAAAGAAATCAATGAAGTGGAATTTTCCTAACGGTTACATAGCCTCTCATAGATAAGCAAAAACATCTCCGTACCGATCGTCGAGACTCTAATAAACCAGCTTGTGATCCATGACTCCTACAGACCTAGAGTTCTGATACCAACTTATCACGACTCCGGTTCGCCCTCCGTGAATCATTGTGACGACACCTAGTCTCTACGACTAGGTAAACCTAAATTGCAGAAGAAAAACCAAAATTTGCGGAAGTAAAACAATTTAAAATAAGAATAAAGTAATAATAGTGTTTAAATGTGCAGCTCGGCATACACCATGTTTAACTCTCACTACCAATACGTAAATCCAAGACCCGAAATCCCACGAATCACAAGCTAAGAAAAATACTACATAGCTCTAACTCCGGAATGTCTAATAAGAAAAGAAAAATACAAAAGGGCTAAATACTAAAAGCAGGAAGAGAAAGGGACTCCTCGGTCTGCGGACACGACAGATGTACCTCGAAGTCTCTAAAGCAGTCGCCTCCCTCAGGGATGGTAAGCCTGAGTAGTGGTACCTGGATCTGCACATGAAAAACATGCGCAAAAAGGGCATGAGTACACCACAACGGTACTCAGTAAGTGCCAAGCCTAACCTCGGTCGGGTAGTGACGAGGAAGGTCAGGGCCCTACTAGATTAAATAAATATAAAGATGACAGGATAAGATAAGCAGTACAATTGAGAATCTACAGTAAGAATCTATACAGGATAATAAAGAGTACCATAATTGAAACAGAGGTAAAGAAAATCATAAGGAAGTACCACTCATAACAAGGATGGAAACCTAGGATCTCTTAGTACCCTCACTATATACCAGAGATCTCTTAGTATCCCGAGGATCTCTTGGTATCCTCAATGTATGCTAGGGATCTCTTGGTATCCCTAGAATCTCTTGGTATCCTCAATGTATGATAGGGACCTCTTGGTATCCCGAGGATCTCTTGGTATCCTCAATATACGTGTCAGGGATCTCTTGGCATTCTGCACCTTAGTCCAAATAATAAATACGTTCAGGGGATCTCCCAGGATGCCGTCCCGTAGTCCCAAAATGAAACACACAGCAGCAACACAAGAATACTCAATTAAGCTAAATTTCGTACTAGGTAAAACAGGTAATTCTAGACTAACATGCTTCACGTAATGCAATTAAGGTAGTTTAGGCAAATAGGCAATTAAGTCAACTAAACATGCTTTTCTAAACTAACAACAGGCTAAATTCGCAAGTAGAATAAAACAGGAAAAAGGAACTCAATTGAAATACTTAAAAGAAAAACCGGATTTTTCAATAATTAGCTCAAGTATGCACTCTTTCAGCTCACGTACAAGGCATTTCAATTATCAAATATATCATATCCTTAGGGGAAGGTCCCCCACACAAGGTTAGACAAGCCACTTACCTCGAACCAGCTTAATAATCAACCTGAAACCACGTTCTTGCCACGAGTACTCGACTCCAAATGGCCCAAATCTATTCAATTCAATTTCATATGTAAATAACACTTCGAAGTAACTGATTCTACAATTAAATTCTAAGCTAATACGCAAAATTATATAAAATGACCAAAACGCCCCTCGGGCCCACGTCTCGGAATCGGGTAAAATTTATATTTTCAAAATCCTCACACTCTCACGAGTCTAACCATATCAAAATTATCCCAATCCTATGTCAAATACCTGATCAAAACCTAATTTCTTGGTCTAAGAACTTTTCCCCTATTTTCATACCAATTCTTAAATTAAAGGATGAATTCACGTTTAGATTAATGGGTTACAAGCATAAAAGAGTTAGGAATCGTTACCCAATCGATATCTCTGAAAATTCCTCAAATTCTCGCTCAAATCCGAGCTCCCAAGCTTAAGTTTTCTCAAAAATGACTAAACCCTCGTTTTGAAATTTTATATTCTGCCCAGCTATTTTCACATTTGCGGCCCTGGGACCGCTTCTGCGGTCACGCATCTGCGAGGAATTAGCCGCACCTGCGACCCTTCACTTAAAGACCAGACACCGCACCTGCGATGACCCTTTTGCAGATGTGGTACCGCTCCTGCGGCATTTCTTCCGCATCTGCGAAACCTGAATATCCTCCCCAGCTCCGCTTCTACGATGGCTCCGCCGCTTCTGCGGCTCCGCACATGCTGAACCCAAACCGCAGGTGCGGTTATGACAGATATCAGCAATGCAAAAATCTTCCTAAGTCCAAATTCAACTTCCGTTAAGCACCCGAAACTCACCCGAGGCCCCCGGGACCTCAACCTAACATGCCAACCAATCCTAAAACATCATTCAAACTTGTTCCAACCTTTGGAATGCTCAAAACAACACCAAAACACCAATTTAACCTCAGATTCAAGCCTAAGAACTCCAAAAACTCTAGAAATACATTTTCGATCAAAAAGTTTATCAACCTCGTCTGAATAACCTGAAATTTTTCACACACGTCACATTCAACCTTACGAAGCTACTCCAACTTTCGGAATTCCATTCCGACCCTCGGATCAAAATCTGACTATCAGACTGGAAAGTTCAAAAATTTGACTTTCGGCATTTCAAACCTAAATTAGCTACGGACCTCCAAAACACATTCCGATCACGCCCCTAAGCCCGAAATCACCTAACGGAGCTAATGGAACCATCTGATTTCCATTCTGAGGTCATCTTCACACTAATCCGACCACGTTTAACCTTCCAACACTTAAGCTCTCATTTAGGGACTAAGTGTCCCAAAACTCTCCGAAACTCAAAACCGAATATCCCAGCAATTCAAAATAGCATAAATAAACTCGGGAAAAGCAGTTCCCCCTATGGGATCGGGGTGTTAATTCTTAAGATGACCATCCAGGTCGTCACATCCTCCTACACTTAAACTTTCGTTCGTCCTCGAACGAGCATAGAGACATACTTGAAGTAGTGAAAAGATGAGGGTAACGGCTGCGCATATCCTGCTCGGTCTCCCAGGTCACCTCCTCGACCGGCTGACCCCACCACTGAACCTTTACCGAAGCAATGTCCTTTGACCTTAGCTTTCTAACCTGCCTGTCCAGTATCGACACCGGCTCTTCAACATAAGATAGATCCTTGTCCAATTTGACTGAACTGAAATCTAACACGTGCGACGAATCACTGTGATACCTCCGGAGCTTCGAAACATGAAATACCGGATGAACTCTTGTCAAGCTGGGAGGTAAGGCAAGCTCATAAGCAACCTTCCCAACATGCCTCAATAACTCAAAAGGGCCAATGAACCTTGGACTCAACTTCCCTTTCTTCCCAAATCTCATAACGCCCTTCATAGGCGAAACCCGAAGTAGGACCCGCTGTCCAACCATATAGGAAACATCACAAACCTTCTGGTCCACATAGCTCTTCTATTTGGACTGGGCTGTACAGAGTCTATCCTGAATCACCTTAACCTCCTCCAAAGTATCCTGAACTAAGTCTGTGCCCAATAATCTAGCCTCACCCGGCTCGAACCAACCCACCGGAGATCTGCACCGCCTACCATATAAATTCTCAAACGGTGCCATCTGAATGCTGGACTAATACCTATTGTAAGCAAACTCCGCCAATGGAAATAATTGATCCCAAGACCCTCCAAACTTGATCACACACGTACAGAGCATATCCTCAAGAATCTGAATAGTGCGCTCGGACTGTCCATTCGTTTGAGGGTGAAATGTTGTACTCAACTCCAGGCGAGTATCCAACTCCTGCTGAATGGCCCTCCAGAACCATGATGTGAACTAAGTACCTCTGCTTGAAATAATAAAAACTAGAATACCATACAGACGAACAATCTCCGAAGAATAGGTAGTAAACACAGGAATGAAATGCTGGACTTGGTCAGCCGATCCACAACCACCCAAATGGCATCGAAGTTCCTCAAAGTCCGTGGGATCCCAACTACAAAGTCCATGGTGATCCGCTCCCACTTCCACTTCGGAATCTTTATCTGCTGAAGCAACCCACCCGGTCTCTGGTGCTCATACGTCACCTGCTGACAGTTGAGGCACCGAGTTACAAATCCAACTATTTCTTTCTTCAT